TGGAGTGGGGAGAGGCGCCGGGGCGTGACGCGTCCACACCGCCCCTCCGGGCACCGCGCCGAGGCCACGTCCCGACTTCTTTTGTAACCGTCAACAGCACAACTATTTTGTATCGTTGTTTGTATCATTTTGTACCAAAAAAGAAAAAAAAAAGAGGAAGAAAAAAGGGAGCCGCGTCGAAGCGGTCAGTGTTTCCGCGCGGGCGGAGCCTGCGGGCGCCCCGGCCCCCGGGCCCGCCGGGCACGGGCGCTCTGCCTCGGAGGAGTGAATAAAGTCCCCTTTAACAAGTCGGCCTCCGCCTGGCTGCTTTTCGCCCCATGCCCAAGGTGCTGGGACGGGGTCCGGGGTCGGACAGGGTGAGGTTCGGTGTCGACGGCCGGGGGCGGAGGAACCGCTCATTCAGCGAACACTTCTTGAGCACCTGCTATGCTCTAGGCTCTGGGGGCGCAGACGTGAACACAGCCAGGCCCACCCCTCGCCCCCGTGGGGCCCGGGGACGCTGCGCAAACCCGGGCCCGTGTGCCCCCAGCCTCAGCGCTCCACAGCTCCTAGACGCCTCCGCTGAAGCTGCAGAGCTGCTAACAGGACGTGACGCCCTCCCGCCTGCCAGACAGACCCGCAGACGGCCACGGAGGCCTGCTTCAGCTCCCCGGGGCTCACGCCCCTCTGCTTCCCCTGTGCCCTGGCCTCCGCCCGCCCCTCATGGTGGCTTTTTCCATCTGGTGGGAGGACAGCGCCCACCAGGTCACAGCCCCCAGGCCGTGAGCCCAAAGACAAGCAGGTCTACCAAGCCAGGCTGGGCTGTCCTCAGAAGCTCTCCAACTGGCCTCGCCTGCTCACGTGGCCCAGCTGGTCCTTGACCTCTGGCCTGAGTCCGAGCTGAGAATCTCTAGTGATGGCTGACACCTTCCTAGTCATAAGGCCACACCCTGGAGGCCCCGTGTGCAGTGCTGGCCAGCAGAGGCCACACACCCGAGCCCAACCGCTGGACCCACACGGGCTCTGTCCTCCTCAGAGACACCAAGCTCAGAAAGGCCAAGTGGCCCCCAGTCACCTCATTAATAAGCGACACAGTCCGAACCCCTCCTCAACCCCCCCACATAAACCTGCATCCACAATGACCTGCAAAGTCCCTCACAGGGCTAATTACGGTGCAGCTGAGACGCACGATGAGACACTTGCTATTCTGAGGGTGCTGAGCAGCTAATCACAGTCACAACTAGGCAGCCCCGTGGTGGGGACAAACACTCCTTGTAACCAGGGGGCCAGGTCTCGGGGGGAGGGTCTGCTGAAAGATACCCCAGCTCCACAGCAGAGGCCAGCGGTCCCAGAGGCGGGGCCTGGCCCGAATAACCCCCAAGTCCAGCCACGAAGCCGCTTCTCTGACGCAGGGTCACTCTCCTGGGTGGCTTCACTGGACGGAAGCCACTGTCCCTCCCCTGCACTGGAGATGGCAGGCCCTGGAGGGGCCTTCAGAGTGGTCAGTTCGCAGGCATGCACTGGCAGAGCCCCGAGTCCAGGCCACTCCGCCACGTGTGACCACACCCTGGGCCAAGGAGGCCTCACCCAGCTGGCTGGGGGGCGCTCTGGACTGCCGCGCTGGCGAATGGGCAGCTGCACATGAGAAGCCCCCCAAGACACGGGCACAAATCCATCCTTCAAATGCCGCAGCCGTAGGGCTGCCCCCCGCCGTGAGTCCAGTGCCCCGCTCCAGGCAGGAGGTCAAGGCCAGCCTTGCCCGGGACCCAGAGAGCAGCAGCCAGAAAACGATGGCTTCATGAGCCGAGACTCGAGGGTGGACGAGGGAGCAGGGCAGGTGCGGGTGAGGGCGGCCCAGGCCGGCGGGGCAGGGGAGAGGTGGGGGTGGGCCCAGAGGAGAGCAGGCTGCGGGCTGGGCAGACCCGGGGGTGGGGGCGTGGCTCAGGAGGCCCCTGTCCTGGCTCGGCCCCAGGCGTGGGGAGGATCCGCACTTGGCCCTGGCCACGCCGTTGGCCGTGCCCATGGCACACCCAGGCAACAGCAGCAGCATGGGCTGGAGCTCAGGGCCGGGGGGCGGGGGACGGATCCGGGCATGATCGGTGCAGTCGGGAGTGGGCACTGAGGAGGGGGCGGCGATGCCGTCCCAGAGAGTGTGATAACAGAGAACAGGTGCCACGGCGCTTGCCCCCCATGCAGCGACAATGATGGTGGCTTCCGCTGAGGGACAGACACTTGTCACCCCAACCCTGGGTTGTTCACTTTGGAGCAGTTTCCTCTTAAGAAAGAAATAATCTCCTACTCTGAACGCAGCTGAGAAACATGAGCGTGAGGTGCCCGGCTTCTGGAAGGTGTCACCTCCCTTCCCATCCGGTCCCAGACCCCGGGGTCCCTGAGGGGAGCTCCCCTTCTCTCCCGTGTGCACACAGCTCTGCACCCTTCCCCCCTGCCTGCACCGCCACCCCGTTTCCTCCTCCTCTCCCTGCGCCCCCACCCCCGCTTCTCACAGGCCGCTCACCTGCGTGGAGTCCAGCCCTCACCTGCAGGCCTCGGCAGCGGTCGGCCTCCCCGCCGGCCCTGTGCCCTTGGCTGCCCTGTGCGGCGCTCCCCGGGGACTCTCCCGCCCGACGCTCCTTGTCCCCAGCCTGATTAACCGCGTCCCCGCCCTGCGGGACCCCGCGTCCTCCTCACTGTGGCTCCCGCCTCGGCCCAATCGCCCCCCTTCATTTGCCCTGTGCTCTCGTCTCTGAAACTGGGGGCCCTGCCACCTCGGCCCAGCGGGCACCGGTCCAGCGCCCCGCCCGCGCCCCCCCGGCCTGCGGTCTCCGCCCGGGAACACCGCTCCAATCTTTATTCTTATTCACTTATTTTTGCAGCTTTATTGAGATCAGATAAATTGCAGACGTTTATAGGGTGCCCCTTGAGAGGTTCTAACACTTGTACACACCGGTGAAGCCACCGTCGCAGTCAAGGTGACGCAGATTCCAGCACCCGAAGGCCTCCCTCCCTCCCCTGGCCCGGGCAGCCAGGGCCACCCTGTCACAGACCACGCTCGTCCCAACGCTGACACACAGGGGCCACACGGTGGCGCTGGCGTGCCAGGCTTCCCTCAGGCCGCGGAGGCTCCGAGCACCCAGCACCCTGTGCACGGGGCGCAGGCTCCCTCCCCTGCGGACGACAGCCGGGTCCTGAGCCTCTTCAAAGGTGTTATGGACGTCCGGGAACACGTCCCCTCTCCCGGTGAGGGCCCAGCACAGATGGTGGCGTGGGCGTCACGAGGCACGTTTCACTTTTGAGGAAACTGCCAAAGCTGGACGCCCGACAGCCCGCGGCTCGGCTCCCGTGTCCCCACCCGCTGGGCACCTGGCACGGCCAGTCTCGGTCTGAGCCGATCCGATGGCACATGGTCACACCTCACCACGCTTCTGATTCCATACGAGCACCGGGGGGCGCTCCCGCGTCCCTCCTGTGTCCCTCCCGCACCCCTCCTGCCACCCCGCCGGACACCCCACCGGACACCCCTCCTGCCACCCCGCCGGACACCCCGCCGGACACCCCGCCAGACACCCCTCCTGCCACCCCACCGGACGCCCCGCCAGACACCCCGCTGGACACCCCTCCTGCCACCCCACCGGACGCCCCGCCAGACACCCCGCTGGACACCCCTCCTGCCACCCCGCCGGACCCCGCCGGACCCCCCGCCGGACACCCCTCCTGCCACCCTGCCGGACGCCCCACCGGACACCCCACGCACCAGCAACGCCCCTTCCTGCACTGCGTCGGCGTCTCTGTCCAACACCCAGCGGCCCCACCGACGGACCCCGTTCTGGACGCTGCCGCCCTCTGCCCACGGACCGCATCCGACCCTGCACCAGCCCCGCGCTGTCCCGGTGGCCACAGAGCTACGGCACGGCCAGGAATCGGGGCGCCACCGCTCTGGCCATGTCCCCGAGGTGTACCCAACCGACCGTGCCCGTGCCTCGGCTGTGCCGAGTCCTCTGCGGTTCACACACGTTTTGGATTCAGACTGTCGGTCTCCACAAAGGTCCCGCTGGGACGTGGGCGGGGCCATCGCCGCCACGCCGCCCGCTCCCGGCACGTTTTCCGGCCAGTTTCCTCCCCCGTCCCCGATTCCTGCCGCGCTGCTCCTGCGTGTTCCGTGTCTGGGGCGTGTCGACCATGTTTTCACTTTCTAGCTGTCTGCTGCTGGTGACACGGTCACGTCCGGTTACACACTGACCTTGCACTCCACGACCTCACGGAAGTCGCGCCTCGGTTTCGGGGGCCCGTGGACCTGGAGCTGTGCGCACAGCCGCGGTCACCTGCGCTCTCTTCCCCTCCCCCCTTCCCCACCTCCGTGCTTTGCGCTCTCGCCTTCGGCCCGACGGGACCCACAGCACAGCAGGGAACGGTCGTGGTTAAGAGCAGACGTCCTTGTCGTGTCCCTGGCCTGCCCCCCGCCCACCCCCAAACCCACGCCGGCATCTTAACGGGACTCAGGACAACGGGTCACGTGCTGTGGTGGGACACAAACAGCAGGGGTCGAGGGACACGGTCTGCCGGCAGAGCTGCTCCCGGGGCCGTCTGTCCGGGCCTTGCCAGTGACTGTCCTCGCAGACCACTGGACCCAGTGGGACAGAGAGAGAGGCTGAAATTAAATCCATGACACTTGCAGGAATCCCAGCACGAGTGTCCTTTACCGGCGGACCTGTTACTTTAGCCCGAGAACGCCGCCGAAACAAGGTGTCCGTCAAGCCCGGATGAACAGCACGGACGAGGGCGGACTGATTAACGAAGCGCCTCGCGGCGGAGCCCGGGAGCTGCCGGGGCCGTCTGTCCGGGCCTTGCCAGTGACTGTCCTCGCAGACCACTGGACCCAGTGGGACAGAGAGAGGCTGAAATTAAATCCATGACACTTGCAGGAATCCCAGCACGAGGGTCCTTTACCGGCGGACCTGTTACTTTAGGCCAAGAACGCCGCCGAAACAAGGTACGCGTCAAGCCCGGATGAACAGCACGGACGAGGGCGGACTGATTAACGAATCGCCTCGCGGCGGAGCCCGGGAGCTGCACCCCTAGCACTTCCTGCCAAGGCTCCGAGGATCGAGTTCCGTCACCCTCCACCACCACGGCTGTTGGGGGCTGCACTGTGCCCCCCGCCCCCAAAAAGACACATGGGGGTCTTCAGCCCCAGAAACCGAGACGAGACCGTATTTGGGAAACGGGTCTGCACAGGTCACGGAGTTAACACGAGGTCGCTGGCTGGGCCCTAGTCCAATGTGACCAGTGTCCTATAGCAAGGCACGATGCAGGCACACACAGAACGCCCCGTGAAGGTGAAGGGGTGTCGCCTCCACAGGTGAGGAACGTCCGAGGTGCGGGCAAGCCAGCAGCAGCTGGGGGGTCCTGGGACAGACCCCCGTCACGGCCGCGGAGTGGCGTGACCCTGCCACGCCGTCCGGCCTTCCGGCCTGCAGACTGAGAGGCGCTGGCTGTCTGCTGTGTGAGCCCCGTCTGCAGCACGTGGCCACGGCATCCGGGGGACACCGGCCCAGTGGGCACCATAGTGGGAGACTATCCTGCAGCACGACTCGTGCGTGACCCATACTGCTGAGGTCTGTCCAGCTGGCTAAAGTGGAAACCAGACACCATCAGCCGGCCACCAGGCACTCGAGACACGGTGCTGCTGAGTGTAGGCGGCAGGGCCTCTTAGGAGGCTCCCTAGGAGCTGGGGTCACCCGGGCCAGCCTGAACACCCAGACGTGGGGCGTGGGCCCCCACACCCCGCCTGTCCCCGTCACCATGCGTCCCCCACGAGGGCTGGGCCAGCCAGCTCCCACGCCCAGTGTGTGTGGACCCCCAGGCCTACCCAGGGCCTTACCTGGCCTCTCCCAGGTGTGCCCTGGCTCGCCTGCCTGCACAGAGCCCAGCGTCCGCACAGCACAGGTCCATCCGTGTCCAAGGTGGGGTGGCCCAGACCGTGGGAGCACGCGGGGCAGGAGCTCGGCCTCCAGCCCTGGGCTCGCCGCGTGCCGGGCCTGGCTCTGCGGCGTGCACGTGTCCTTAGAGACGAGGTTACTGTGACCAGATTCGCTGGGTCTGGACACAGATTCTAACAAGCAGCTCACAGATAAGACCTCGGCAGAACCAGAGCTGAGTCTCTGGCAGCGGCCTCTAAAATGGAAAACTGGGCAAAACAGGCAAAACAGATACAGATAAATTTGTTTTTAATAAAGGAGTTAATTTTCTTTCAACCCTATATAAAACAATAGCAATTAAAAACTTCATTTTTGAAAGTAAAATATTTACATATGAACAAGTAACTGTGCAAAATTTACATGGAAAAATGGAAAGACGGGGAGTCCCTAAAAGACAGAACAAGAGGCGTAACAGGTCTCGGGCGTCGATAAAAATACTGATCAGCATCTGGTTCGCACTCGCGCGGGCAGAGTCTACATGGGGTCACACGGGTTCACACAGAGGAAGCCGGAGTATTTACAGTCATAAAAGTACTGTCGATAGACAATTTAATACAATAACCTCTGAAAATATAAAGAACCAATTAGTATATTTGTCATAAAAAAATAGGTACAAAGAAGGGGCTTTGCTCTGGACGTCTGGAAAGCTGGCCCACAGCTCGCACACAGCCTCTTAGCAAAATAATTATAGTTTACATAGCCATTTTTATGTCATGTGCCAAAAATTATGTACAATTACTGACAAAATACACCGACCATTTTCCAACACTTGATTCACACTGAGAAACAGTCCTCCGATGATTCTTCTCGACTGACTTTATTTCATCTAGGTTTTCACTTTCAGCTAAAAAACACAGTGCAAGTAAAATATATTTATGCTGAAAAGGTTTCCGTTTCTTTTAACTTTACAGCTTTACAAACTATAGCAAATAAAATGCATTTGTACAGATGCTGACCACACATTCAGAGGAGCTGCCAGCGCCGGGCCCCACCAAGCAGAAAGTGACTGGCTCCGGGAGGGCACGAAGATGAAGCGCGTCTTCCTCCAGGATTCGGAACATGGGGGGAGGGGGAAGATAAATAGTCTAAAAAGTCAGTTCGCTTTGCCAACTGACTAGTACAAAAATAAAATAAATGAAACGAGGTCATTGGCTGCAGACGCACACCTACGTAGTAAGTGGGGCTGGACTAAACCAAACGCACAAAGAATGGGAAAACGGCTACGAGGTGACAGAGGGCAGCTATTATTTGCTAAACGATTCCATCAGTTTCATATATGGCTTGTTTGGCAAGAAGGCCACTCAATCAAAGATGAGTTAGGGTTTAATCGTCCTTTAGGAGTGCCCACGGGCTTCGGAATTCCCTGTTACAGAAATGTGGTTTTTTTCTTCCGCTGAAGAGCTTAGAAACAGGAATAGAAAACTGTTCCGTTGCAAAGAGGTGGCTGTTTTTTAAACAATATCCCATTTGCTTGGTACAAAAAGGCGTGATCTGCAAATATATAAAAACGTGCCCAGGCGTCTCCGTCCGAGATGCCGACCGTCCTGTGCTACTTGAGGAACGCTTTGTAGAGCAACAGTGAATGGCTTGTCTCGCGTTCGTTTTCTAAACAAAATATGAGGTCCCTGAGGTTGACCCGCGTGATCCTTTGTCGCGTGAACTGTCTGGGCGTTCCGACGCCGGAGCCGCCTGGGCCCGCCGAGCCTGGGCCCGACCCCTGGTGACAAGAAAGGAGAAGACACGAGTTAGCGGTGCGCTGGCAGCCCTGGGGTGTCCCGAGGCTTGGGACGGGCTCCCACCACAGGCCCACTCCTTGAGCCGAAGCACTCTACGCGCCTCACCCGGAGGGGCGAAAGCGGGGCCCACGCCGTGCCCAGGGCTGGCACCCCCAGGCACACGCTGCGCTGCGCAGCGCCGCGCCCGCAGCGCCCCCAGAGCTCAGACAATGGCCCGCGTGGGGAGGGGTGTGACCAGAGCGGCTCAGACGCTGGCCGCTGTTTCCCCACGTCCACGGGTCCGGGGACTCAGGCGGGGCCAGCACCGCATCTGGGGCCAGGCACATCCTCCCCGCTCTGCTGACAAAGGCACATTCCCGATGCGCAAGGTCTAAACTCCTAGACTGGGAGGCTGGTGGTCAGCTGGTTGGGACGCAGTCCCCACGGTCATCTGCAGCCAGGAGGGGGACTTCCTGCCGATATGAGCAAGACGCTGCGGGCTCGGCTCCTCGGCTC